GTGCCCGCCTGGGTGTTTGTTCCGTAAATTATGATCAGAAATGCCGCCACTTATTCTTTCATTAAGCTTCAAAAGTACTCAAAATGTGCTTTTAAAATACTCAAAAGTACTTTTATGAAAAGTATCGGAGTACAGTAAAAATACAGGTTCTCAAAATGTACCGGAGTACAGTAAAAGTACCGAAAATTGTAATGTAAGTACAAGTACCGGAGTACATGTACTCCGTTACAACCAGCTCTGTGCGTAACCATAGTCTCTGTCCATGTTTTTCATCCCCCCTGAACTTTTTATTTCTTTTGCCTCAGGATACAGACATAGAACTGGAAGAGGAAGTTGATATTCTGATGAGCAGTGACATTGTGGCAGCTCAAATGTCAACCAAGAAAATCACATTTTCTCGTGCTCAAAGTGGTTGGCTGTTCAGAGAAGATAAATCTGTGAGTAGCAAGTAGCATTTAATTTTTTTAGATGTGAGAGATCTGTGATCACATTCACAAGAGTGGATAATCTGGGATACAACGGGCAATAATACAAAATATAAAGATCACAAATTTTCATTGCTTGGTTGATTAGTTGAGCTCGCACAGGTTTTTGTTCTGTAAATTTTGATCTGAAATGCTGGATTTTAGCCAAATTCAGGACTGGATCTTAGGGGTGAATTTTGTGTAGTAAAAATTCTGTTTTTCTGAAAACAAGAGAATCTTGAGCAAATCGGGATCATAAGCAGTGGAATTTTAGGCAGTGACTATTGTACTGCTAAGAAACTAAGTTAAAATATCATTGGACTCCACACAAGGCACCCCGGGGTAGACAGACTGGAAGGAACAGTGGACATGAAAGTGCTCATGAAATTCTACGAGAAAAAAAACAGACCATCATTTTCTGAGCAGGCTAGCCATTTAAAAAACAATTTTATTTTTGTGTTTAACCGTATTTGAAGAGCAAATCGTTGTGCACTTCATTGTTTTGTTTTTTACTGTAAATTAACTGTAAGGAAATCTCCATGCAAAGCTTCATGAACCTGTGTGAGTACAATCTAGTGTTTTATGGTATATAGTCAGATGTATTGTTAAAATTTACAAATGAATATTCATGTTTTTATGCTTTCAGGAGACTATTGGAGGTTTCAGATCTCATTTTTACTGTGTGAACAACCTTGTACTGGAGTCCAAGAAAAGGTGGGTAATGTTGCAAATGATAATTTAACTCCCCATTCTATGGAAAGAGGTCATTGCTAAGTTGATAAATGGAAAAGGTAAAATTTGACTGACTAATTATGATATACAAACTTTTCTGTTTATTAAAAAACACCCAGTCAGCTACTGTTGTTCTCTCGCAGGGGAATGTCAAAGAAAAAAGGGAATCATTAATGTTACAACAAATTACAAACTTTTCTGTTTATTAAAAAACACCCAGTCAGCTACTGTTGTTCTCTCGCAGGGGAATGTCAAAGAAAAAAGGGAATCATTAATGTTACAACAAATTAATAAGACACTATTATAAAATAAAAATTATATAATTATTTACAGAGAAGTTTTTGAATTAATTAACAGGACTTCTAGTGATATTTCATCAATGTCATCAAATAATATACTTCTTTGGGTTCTCAAGTTCAAACATGGATTTTAAAAAAACAACTTCCATTCTTTCGAAATTTGTTCTGTCTTGTCGATATGATTTTTTTTTTTTACCAAAAGAGAACGAAAACTTTGGTATAGAGCTTCACTGTTTTACCCCAGGCATAGGAACTGCCTTGCCAGTTCTTTTAACATTGTTTCTTAACTTGGTTTGCTTTTGTCTAGTAACTTAACTATGTACATCATATGTGTGTGGCTCTGAGAAAACCCTTCACAAGGTGCAAAATTTCAAACTGAACTTTTTTGCATATTTTAAAAGACACATCTTTTCCGAGCATTTTGCACTTTATTTGAAAGCAATTGGAGCATTCTGTGAAAAGTTATGGCATTTTAAAGCGAACAGGGGTTCGAGTGTCAAATTTTGAGAAAACAGGTTTTAAAGTTTTGCTTACTTTGGGAACACATTTTCCATGATGACAACGCATAGAAGCAAATAATGCTGATACCACAGCATAGAGGTGCCATTTGTGGACAGTTTGCTTTTTATTTTAGTGAAATACCTCTCTTCTATGTGAAGTTATGACTGTTTTTATGTTACAACAGTAAATCATTGAATTACGTAAAAACGCGTAAAAAAATATTATGCTCCTCTCGTGTCATACCAGCAAAAGACAAACGCAGGTCGTCAAAAGCAGTTGATTCGAACTGGCTGTTGCAAGGCAGGCCATCATTGAGCTTGCAGAAGCACTTCAGGCCCTTCAACTTCGCAAAGCTGTCTGCTCCACACCCTTACCTTCTGGCACCACAAAGGCTGTCACTGTCACGTTCTCTATGAAGATCACCTCTAAGGCATCATTCTCGTCTGTAGATACAGAAATTAAAAGAGAGCGATTTAAAGGTGTGCAGCTTGCATAATGAAATTTATAGTGCTGTACACCACTGTATTTAAATGACCACTATTAGTTCAAACAAACCAGTGATTAATGATCACCAATTGAGAATAATTTGCTCCATGATCCCTTTACAGTTGACAGGTTGCAACAAGAAGCCAGAATTTTTGTCCATCATTCTGTCACCTCTTGTTTTGTTTTTTTTGCATCGCTGTATTTTTATATGGACCTACTCAGTATAAGAAATTCACTTTCATGTGACGACAAGTTTGTGACAGATCATCACTGCGATAGTGCAGCATCTCTCTTTTCTTGGTTCTTTTCAAGTCAAATAATTAAAGAGTATGTATTCAGAATAGATATTTCTTCTTTGTAAAGGAATTTTAAAATTTAAAGCAAGAGTCAGCATCACACTGAACTATAATGCTATAATATTTTATTTAATTGAGAGGCATCACCTTCAACAATACAAGTTAGTGTGGTGCAGCATCTCTCATGGTTCTTTTCAAGTCGAATAATTAAAGCTAAAAAGTATGTAAGATCGATTATATTCTGCTTTGTAAATGAATCAAGAAATTTAAAGCAGGTGTTAGCATCAATATAAATTGTAGTAGTAGTAGCCCTAGTCTATTATTCAATTCCATTGAGAGAGGCATTACCTTCAGCAATACTGGACTGGTCAGCCTCACTTTGTTGTTGTAGAGCACAGCAGTCAGAGACTCTGGATCTGCTTTACTGGGAGCATGGGAGGGGGGCTGCGAAGGTCCTGGGCCAGCAATTGCACCTAAGAGATCAATGAAAATAGTATGTACAATGAAATAAAACTGAAGAGATCAACAAGAATTTATCTGTGTAGTGTGCACTGGATCATCTCCACACGTCTAGAAAAATACTGTTTACAGAGATACACAACTGGCCCTGGATTTATTTAGTCTTAGATCTAAGCACAGTCAACATAGTGTCTGGTGACTTGGTGTATAAAGTTTAAAACAACACACTATAATGTCATCTAGATCTAGATCTAAATCTCAACACACACTGCAGTGAGACTTGCTTCATCATACAGATAGGTAAGCGACAGGGATCTAAACAACAGCTGCAGGCTTGAGTAACTTTCATCAAGAGTCTTAAGTTAAGTGTCAATTGTCATAGGAGCCCAGATCTAGAAGAGTCATAAGTCTAGATCTAGTCAAGTGTCTAGTTAGTCTAGTCTAGTCTAGTACAATCTTGATCTAAGTCTATAATAACGTTGACAGACTTGGTCTCGTTCCAAGAGTTAAGCTACCGTATAGTGATAGATCTAGTCGATCTAGATCTAGATCTAGCTCCTCCAATTCTATTACACTGCTAGATCCATTAATCTAGCTGATAATTATAAGGACTAGTATAGAAGCTGGGACTGCGGATATGGTAAACCTTGCTTACCTTTGATGATGTTATATGCCAATTGGTTGAACAGGAACCAGGACTTCTTCTTCATGAAGTTCCAGATTCCAGATCATGGTCATGAGCAGGGGAGTGTGTGTGGGTGTGTCACGGCCACGGTCGTCGTCATAATTGGTTCATCATGTGTCTCCTCCTCCAAACTAGAATCTACTGTCTTCACAATCAATAGTCAGTTCATCCAATTCATTTTCGTCTGTGATTTGTCTCATTCCAGTCCGACTGAGATAGTTATACATCGATGAAATACGCCACTCAGCCGATCGATCCGCCATCTTTAATCAATTAGATTATGTAAACAAAAGCGCTCGACCACTTGGAAACAGAAAACAATCAGTTTACTTACAGTAAACTCGGAAAAAAACACTTCGAGAGCAGAACAAAGAACTTAAAGTCAACAAGGAACAGTTCATATTTGGTTTGAACGGCAGGAAATGGTACATTAGATGTTAAACTGCATTCATGACAAATATCATTTCAGAAGTGAAACTACAACATGCGCAACTCACAGAACTATTTGTAATGTTCACACATTCATGCGCACTGGGTTTTCCCGAAACGACAATAAAATTCTCTTTCTTTTGGTATATAATATGTGAGGGTTCCCGTGGAAAGAAGTGTCTATCCTGTTTGGTAAATATTCCCCGTTTGTCTAAGAATTCAGCGTAATACGGCGACGATATGTCCTCAAAAATAATTATTTAAAAATATTTTCAATCACTTTTGAGCAAATTTCTTAACACATATGATGTAGAAATGGTCTATCTTTCTGAATTTCATATAATTTCGTTTTCGATAAAAATGAAGTTCAGGGCCTATTTTTAGCGATATCTCAGAATAGCTTCTCGCACCTTCCGACGGGTTTTCTCAGAGCCGCTCATTATGGAGACTATTATTTTTTTTTCTGCGATATAATGGCTCATTGTAGTTTATCTACATGTAGTCTATTGTATCATGTGCATTCTCATGTAGATAAAATGTGCTATGCATGTCCTCTCTTTTATGTAGTCTATGTGGGTATTTTTGTCTCATCACATGTGACATCTTTGTCCTTTTTTTTCTTCGCTCACAGACGCGAGCATTTGTCTGCAGAAGACATTCAGAAAAACAAAACCACCCTGGAAAACATCGTCAAGGGCTCATGGGACAATGCCGAGGCTTCCAATGGGGTATGCCACTGCTAATGAATAGGTTCTATTGCTCTGAGACTTTTGAGGTCTTATTTATTAAGCTTAAGAATATTTTGTGATGGATCTCGTTGACTTTGCCAGTTTTTAGTTGAGCATTTATATGATTATTTTCAGCTTTGTTTGCTTCCCAATCATCCTCAAGTTTGTGAGTTTTTAGTGCTGAACTTAGTTCCATAAAGTGTTTTGTTTGTGACAGTTTTATGGTAGTTTCATAATGGGATTTGTTGTGTGCATCTAGATGCAAGTTAAGAAGTTGACCTGTGTCCCTGAGGGTAGATTTTAAGAACAATTGATGGTTGTTGTTCTTACTGAGCATCCACGCATGTGGAATCCTGACTTTTTTACACTTCCTGTTCTGTGCAGATGCTGATACCGTAATGTAATAAGGTATGAGTCCCCTTGCTGAATATAGTTGCTTATTCTTTAATTTTTGCCCTTTATTCTAATAATATATCTGCTCAGGTGACATAGGCAGGTGGTAGAAAGCAATAACCGTGTGCTGAAATATCTGTAATGCGGTGCCACATGTCTGTCAATGAAGCTTTTGAAATTTGATTTGATGGTTGTTGTTCACCCTCATAATGCTTGCTTTTTTTGTATGTGTATGTGTTTATGCCTTGTCAGATTCAGGTGTACAAATTTATGTACCATTTTATTTTGTCAAAAATTGGACAATATTAAAACTGATATACGATTCACACATAGGGCTCCAGAATTTCCCTGCAGATGGTCAATTTTGATTAGAATTTGTCCTTGAAAATCACAGGCTCTAGTGATGTTTATGACTTAATGGCTGTGTGAGTTGCTTCCCTAGATTGGAGCTAGATCTTTGATAGATAATATTATTGATTTGGCAGCTCATGACCATCTCGTCCCTATAGATTCTTATGGCGACAAAAGTCCAATGTGGATTTTTGAAGTGTGTGTTCCTTGAATTTATTTTCTGGTACCAGTATTGTTTTATATAGTTTCTTGCGCATCTCCTTGCACATGCCCTAGAGAGAGTATATGAAAGAAAAGAAAAAGTGTATCGAACTTATTTCTGTCAGCTTTCAGTTTCCATGACTGTTAATTTTTCACTCAGGTTCCAAATTGAGTTGTAGTATTAGGCTCTTCGAACTCTACATGAATGTTTTTATGCCATTTTATTGTACTACAAATACGAATCTTGTAATCTGATGCATACATTATTCTTGAGTTTGCATTGTTCTGGAAAAGGATCCCTGTTTTTAGGGGGGATTCTTCGTTTTTCTAAGGAAAGTATATTTTGATAGTACCTTTATTTTTTCACTCTTCCACCCCCTCTTTGCTGTCCTACACAATTACTATAGCAGGAGCGACGGCGGTCACTTCAGCCCCCGGAAATATGCAACTACACGTGGACAGACTATGCCACATCACCACCTGGCCAACCACCGTGCCTCGGCCGAACCAAAATCTCCAAAGAAAGCTCAAAAGCCTTCAAAGCAACAGTTGCAATGGTAACTATTATCTTTTCTTTATTAGATGTGCTCATTTTCATAGGAGTGTTAAAGTCTTTGTAATACTGTCTCTTTCTCGGTCTGTGTTTCATTGAATTTTGGACAAAGGTGTTTCATTTTTGTTTCTACGGTGTTAATTCCTGTTCAGTAGTCATCTTTACTATTTTACTGTGAGTAGTAAATATTTTTGTATAACTGTTTACAGTGCTCAGTGGAGAGTCTGTCCTCTTTCAAGAAATGCTGCATTTGTTTCTGTGACCGAAAATGTATTTATTGTCCTTCTTACTTTTTCTCTTATATCTTTTTTCAGAGCGACGACTTCCCAATGACTGTTGAAGTGTAAGTGTTTCACAGTGATATATATATATATAGGCTGGAAAGACTACCAAGGGCAAAGTCATTCTTTTCAAAATAATTTTTAGAAGTTTGTTGTTATGACCATCAATTCTCCTCTTTGTGGTGGAATTCTTGATACAATATGAAGAGAATGCAACATTTAGATAGCTTTAAATGAGTTGATCATAGAAGATAAAAACAGACATGAGGAAGAATGAGTCGGGGGGATGGAGAGAAAAATAGGAAGAAATTTCTTTATTCTCAATATATCCTCTCTGCTGTTTGTGTAGTGTTCTAACTGTTCATAATGTTCATTGTGTGGAAGATTTGTCATTTAATTTTATTAATTGAAAGAAAGTACGGGTGACTATGAAAAGTTCAAAGGGGAAATTATGAAGATTATTTAGTAACAATCTGAACAATTTCTGCCTTGGTCTTCCACAGACTGCTAGATGTTCTGGAAGTTGTGGCTTCTTTCAAACAGTTCCAGAAGCTCAGAGATTTTATGACCTCAAAGCTCCCTCCAGGCTTCCCAGTTAGAATAGGTGAGTTGTTTGCCCCCGTGTATGAGGAGGCATTTTACATGTTTAAAAACCATTTTCTATTTAGTTAGTCTTCCGACACCAGAATACGAGTTGTACATTTCCAGTGATTTTTGCCTGTCTGTACAGATAAGGGTATTCTCCTGCCTGAACTCGTAGATCTAGTGACTTAACTTTGTGGGATTTTTTCTTTCTGTTGTCTGTTGGTCTGATCTTTTGTGCCTTGACATGGGTTGATGTAGTAAACTTAACATCATTTTTACTTGTTTGTATATTGTTTGAGTTTTAAATTGGATAGTAGTTTATTCTTTTCTTCATTGATTTGGAAGGATCAGCAAATTGAAGGCTTTTAAAAAAAAAAAAAAAGTTTTACTAGTTGATTTTTGTTGTTTTGCATCTTTTCCCTGAAATTTGTAATTCCTACTTCTTTTCAATGCGTCTTGTTATTCTTGTCTCTGATTTTGCTTTTTATCAGCTCTGAAAGACTTTCTCTGGGTTAATATTCTTCTCCACATATCAAACTTACAATTGGAGGGATGGACTAATTTTTAAAAACTGGTGTCTGGTGAAGCGGTTATGTTCTCCACTGTTACATGCTGGAGACACAAGTTTGATTACCAAGTGGGGAGAAAATTTTTATCAAGTATCCTGGTCTTTCTGCAGGGATGCTTCCCTCTCAGTCTGGTTTGGTCCTGACTGGCAGGGTTGGAAGCCCGCCTCCTAAATAATCTAAATTATGTCAATGGGGGCATGAAAACATCATGATCATTGCCTTTCTCACCCTGGATCAGGGTATAGGCCACAAACAAACACTTTCCACCTTTTCCTAGCCTGAGCTAGCCCCTTGATGTTATTGTAAAAACACTTGCTACATTTAATTTCAGAAATCCCAGTGTTTCCAACCATCACGGCAAAGGTGACCTTCACCAGCTTTAAATGGAAGACGGACCTGTACAGCAGCCTGTTCAGCATTCCCCAGACCTACACCGAGGACCCCAGCCGCTTCCCCGACTTGTGACAATACATGGAGCTCTACACCGTCCACATCGCCTGCAGCCTGAGGGAGGACCACGCCTTTGTGCCCCTGGACAGTGTCCGCCCTGCCACCGAAAGCTGTTGCTGGCGCAAGTGGAGTGACCAATCGCCGCCAAGGAGCAGCATGTCATCTCTTGGCTCTCCAGTTTTACTTAAGTTTACATCGTCGTCGCCAGTCAAGGAGGAAAGAGATTGTGAGAGACGGGTCTTGCAACAGACGACGACATCGTGTGATAGAAGGAGTATTGCTGGGTTTGTCACTCCTTCGCCTGAGACTTGTTCGCATTGTGAGAATAAGCAGCAAAAAAGTTCACTACTGCCGTGGAGAGGCTTTAAAGGGGGCAATAAGGCGTTGTCCCGTCATGGTCATTGTCATCGGGTTGATTTTGACAATGAATTCACTCATCGAAGCACGATGCGGCTACATCGTGACCTGGAGCATTCTGGTCAAGGTCACAGTAACACGCCAATGGCAGATTGTGGCTGGTGTAAGGGGCAGTGTCCATCAGTTGTTAAGTGCTCATGTGTATTGGCGGGATGTTGTTATGGAGCTATGCGGATGGGGCATAGAGCTGAAACATGTCCCAAAACTGATCACAAGGATGTTAGTGCTGAAATTGTTGTTGAACAAGATGTATACAGCTGTCTTGATGGCTGCTGTATTGTTGAAAATGAATCGCCTGTTGTGAGAGAACGTGCTGTTGTCAGTGTCAGCGGTGGTGGACGTGTCGCCAATATTACTGCTGTTCAAGGTCCAGTGTGTGCTAGTCGGAGCAAAGCCCAAGGAAAGCAATATTATTGTGTGCCGTGTGAAAGGGGGGGTTGTGTGTGTGCATCTTGTGGGTGTTGTGTGTGCGACTCTAAGAAGAGTGTCTGTCTTGATCTACCGTTGACCAATTTTGGGTTCTACAGCGGAGAGGTTACGATTCTGTTTTGATTCCTTAAATTTTTTAATGCCTTTTTACTTACTGACTTTTATGCAAGTGGTTGTTAGCTCCAGTGTGGTCTACTACTTCTTTTTTTAATCTTTAGTTTTTGCTTTTCTCTTAAGTCTTTTTCTGGCCAAATGTTGTCGTTGTTGTACTGACCATGCGTAAACTACTCCCTGACAACATACTTATTTATAATTTTGTGAAGAACATTAACCCTACATCATGTCTTCTACTTTAAGCATGATCCTGGGCTATGTTCATTACTGCCTTTCCAGCTTGGTATTTATCTGTTTAGCCTATCTATCATGTGCTAAATGGTTGGAGCACACCATTGGTAGGCCCTTTTCTTTTTTTTTTTCTCTAGGTTGTTTCTGTCTGTTCATCTTAGTTTTTCCCTACCCGAACTGACTGTTATGAGCGTATATTTCATAATGTGTCTATGTGCATTTTTTAACTTAAAAGAGAATAAAACTAGCTTTATGCATTTTCTGGGATGAGCTGTTCTGTGGTGTTCCCCTAAGAATTTCCTTGTCTGGGTCTGGATGTGGTATCTGAGGTGCCGAATTTCCTGATAAATCTGTGTTTCCGAATTTCTGAAATTATCTGGTTTCTCTTGACCTTAGGCCGATACTCACTTAAAGTCTCGATACAAAGTGTACTAAACAGTATGGTCCATAAATTTTCAGTAACATTTAAGCAGGGTGCGAAAGTTCGGGTGGGGGGGGGGGGGGTGTAGCCAGTTGGCACCCCTGGTGTTTTGCTGGTTGAGTTTTTCACTGTCTATTTCTTTGTGACTCGCTGGTTATTTTCCTTTTTTTATACTATTGTTAGTACCATTAGGAAGACCTAACAGAAGATGGGAATAGGACATAGAAATCTGGGTTGGAACCAAAACAACTCGGGCAGGCAAAAGGGCATGAGACACTGTTTTATTGCCGAAAGGTCGAAGAAGCAACGTCCAGCTACTGTAAAAGGCAAAGAAGAAGAACATCCAGACTTGCTGTTTGTCACTGTCGTTCATTTCTCGCTTTGTCTCACAGCATTCGTTTTGGAAAATGGATGACAGGCATCGGTTTAGATTTAAGTCTGTATTATTTGTAGGGTTTTCTTCATTATTCTCCACGTCCGGTCTTTGTTTGAGAAGGACCCGGTTTTATACTGGAAGTTGATTATGCTGATTTGTGTTTTTACTAATTTTCTTTGGGAGTACCGATTTTCCCTCTATGGTGATGAAGGTTGTTTTTATATTGTGTTCTCTGGCCAGTGATGTAACCACCATCTGTATTTGTTTTTTTAGCTTCAGTACTTCCAAAGCGTGTAAACAAGTATTGAATATTGTACAGAATGTTCCCAACCGATGAATTGTGAAAAATGAGTCGTCTGTTGTGAGTGAATGTGTTGTCCTTCAGATGGACGTGTTGTGGAGAAGAGAATTTTGGTTGCTGCTGTGCAGATTCAGGTGTGTGCTAGTGGGACTGCTGTAGAGCAGTGTGAATATGTTGTCATGTGAGAGAGGAGGTTGTTGCAGATGAGCTCTGTGCTTGTCTTATGTGAGACTCAGAAGGGTCTCTGTCCTGATCTACCGTCGACCAATTTTTTTTTTGTTCAGTCGTTGAGAGATCATGATTTTGTTTTCGGTTCTTCAGGTTGTTAAATGCCTTTAACGCCAGTCAAAATTCCCAGTGCAAGTAATTTTTTGTCTTGGTTTTGTACTTCATACGGCAGTTAGAGACAGTTTTTGTCTCCGTATGTGAATCATTGCTTATATATAAACGAACATGACTTTGTTACATATGGTGTTACTGGTTCCTTTTATTTCCATTTGTCTTTTTCTTCTTGTGGTCAGTGTCTCCGCAGTATTTTGTGGCGTCAGTGGCCTAGTGGTTAGGCTACCGGACACGTAATCGTGAGTTTGCCGGGTCGGGGGATCGAGCCGCGGGCCCGACGTTGTGTTCTTGGGAAAGGCACTTTACACGAATTTTCCTCCCTTCACCCTGGTGGAAATGGGTACCCGGCCATAGACAGTAGACAGCAAAAGATCTTGTCAGTATGTTAATGTTTTAGCGCCTATAAATGGCTGCTTGCACTGTATGCTTCCCAGAAAGTTGAGTTTGTTTAAGAATGCTCTCAGGTCTGCTGGAGTAATAGTATAGGTTGTGAAGCGCATCATAAAGCTTGCTGTTGAGCGGGGATTTGCACTACATGTATACAAATGCTATCTATTATTATTATTCTACAGTATTTTAATTTTAGATAAAGGACTTGAGGGAAAGATTACCTTCGTTCGCCTTCCAGCAGTTATCCAACCTGTGTTGAGCGAAAGATTACGTACTATAATATGGTGCACTACTTTATTTTAGATGCACTGAAGCTTGGATATATAACAAAGAAGTCGTTGGCCTGACCTTCAATTTAGTTGGATCGAAGTGTTCGTTACAGTAACGAAGGCAACATTTATTTCCACGGGCCAGCACTGCACGAGACCACCAGGCCAGTGCACAATTCATTACGTAGTTCTATGCCTAAGCCAGCCCGTTATTGTTTTGTGGCTGGGGAGGTGGGGGGAATATGATTGTGATGCATCTGTATGTATCTGTGCTGACGTACCACGTGGGTGGTTGGCAGGTGCTCTGATGTGGTTTGCTTCTTCTTTCCTATCATACATTTATGGTCTTTATCTCCCCTCTTTCTTTTTTGTGTTTGTTACTCTCATGTAACACCTCTTATCTTCGGCACTTGTTTGACCTTATTGTGTTGCAAATGCCGTAAAACTTTTACTAAAACTAAACTGTACCACGTCCAGAAAACTATCCAGGGGGCTCTCGTGGCATAGAGGTTCTTACTGCTGTCTTTCAGCCACACCCCTGATCTTCCGGTAGGAAAGATCTGCACCTAGCCTTCTCGGACAAGGGCGAAAAATCTCGACGTGTGCAAGTTGCGCACATTAAAGATCCCTTTGTGGTGTAAAATCGATAAAAATAGCTGTCCCCTTGGTTTTATGCTAAAAAAAATTCTGAAATTATGCAAACTGAGCCCAATAATGTGAAATTATGCGATTCTGTTAATCTTAACCGAGAATGATAAAGGAAAATAATCAGCAAAATCCAAAAAAAAGAATGATCAAATTTTGCTAAATTATGCGGGGTGCATAAAACCCTGGGGACAGGAGTAGGCTTCGGCCGCCATCCGAGCAAAATTCAAAATTTCATACCAACGTCTCGCGCGCTCATATGACCGTATGCAGTTGCGAGCGCCCTAAAACACTTACAAAAAAAACAACAACCCCTATCCCATGCCCCCTCTCCCAGGACACACAAGAACAGCCGTAGTAATATGTGTGTGCTGGTCGTCCATCTGACCTCTCCCGGTCCCAGCACACATTAGACATGTCAAGTTTTACGTGCATGTCAACAATGCACGTATTGGTGTGAAAGAAGGCTTCTGATTGATCGCATAAGATGTACGGTATGCAAAAGGCTAGGCTAATCGCATAATGATCCACAGAGTAGGTAAGATCGATGGTCCCTTGGATTTGGAATAGAGTACTCTGGTCACTGTTTTGGCGGTACAAGTACAGGGATTTATCCTTATTTTGCTCCGCAAGTTAGTAGTAGACACTTATCTACCTAGCAAGCATTTAGAATTCAAAACTTAATAGAACCATTGTTTTGGGAATTTTTGGGGCTCTCCACCCTGCCGATCTGATTCTTAGAATTCGCAGAATCATTCAAAAGGTTGCAAAGGACATGGCAATTGAATTCATATTTGTATTTTAGTTTAGAGGTTTAAAACCATGTGATCAGCAACACTATTTGTTTATCAAGAAAAGATGGACAGTGTGGATTTCCCTTCCTATTACAACGTTAAGATTGTTGTTTCCAACCCTGGGCTTGTGTCTTTGAGAAGAAAGACTACGCAAATTTTCCTCATTTCACCTTGATGGGAATTGGTGTCCTTCTTATAATTCTTTAAAGAATAGAAAATCTTGTCAATGCATGCTTTTGTTGCGTTCCTGTGACATGGCAGCCAGAAATGCTGTACTCTGTCGGGAAAATAATCATTTGTCAATAAAGTGCACAAAGCTTAGCTTGTAGGAATTTATGCGAAATTTATTCGTGAACCCTACCGGAATTACACGGTCACAGGGCAGTTACGTCTTTCCAGTCTCATGAAAACTCCTAGTACCCTCCTATCCTCAACATGAATGGCCTCTTCTCAGGGTGGGCAGACAGTCCACAGACACCCCAGTCCACAATGCCATGCGAAATAATGCATATATAATGAATATTATGCTACCATTTTATTTTACGTTTTATTTTCACAAATATTTAGTTTATCATTATTAAAATATTAACAGTGTACATTGCAAGAGAGTATCACTAAGAATAAAAAACTGAAATAGGCCATTTGCTCCTTCCGAACTTGCAGCTGAGTATTGTACTTCAACTTATGCACAAACTTAATCGCATACAGTTCACACCATCACTGTGCTTCTCTGTCACATTTATAGTTTTACATCGCGACTACCTATGTAAAGCAACCACTATTCACTGGAATGAAACAAGGTCCACTTCATGCAGATTTTACTGCATTGGATAAAGTTTAAATCAAATCTTAAGTTATTGTGAACATCGATTATAATAATAAATGTGTACATTACTCTCGTTAATTTTTCAAAGAGAGCAATTCCACAATAAAGAAAAAATATTATTTTCAAGAACAGACCAAAAACTTATTTTGATAACAAGTACAAAATTTAATTGATGCAGATTGATACATGTACCTCAGATGAAACCTTTGTTTTTTTTAACTGTCCGCACATTACAGAGATTGTATTGAAATTAAATCAATCAAAGACAAACAAAAGGACAAACGACTATGAGAATAAATGAACAAGACAAAAATCATGAATTGTGAATTATCAAATTATTATCAACGTCATAAGTGTTATGCTGATGTATTTTTCACACATACCAGACAGTATTCCTGTTCTTCCACTAGACTAAAAGAATTCAAAGTTTCAATCTGTTTATAATGTATGTAAGAAGAATATTCAGTAGTCTATCCATTACACTTACACATACATACATGTACATGTGCACATGTATTTGGCATCAATGTAATGATACACATGTATATGACAGAAAGGAATGTCAAAGAAGAAAAAGGTGGAAAGGAAGGGGGGAAGGTGGCTTATAATTATATATATATATATATATATATATATATATATATCCATGTAGATGTTGGGTGTCCGTTTACCTGGTCCATCAAACATGATCGTCCTTATCTTTTCTTCTTTTTTGTGTTTGTTACTCACTTGTAACACCTAATATTCGGCATTTACATGACCTAATTGTGTTGCATGTACCGCAAAACTCTTACTAAATATCTTAATTTGAAAACGTTAAGCGTCACGCGGCCAACAATGGAGGGAATTATTACTGTTACGGAAGTATGCAAAGGTGGTTCGAAGAACAACAGAATACGAATGTACAGACAATTATACGAAAGGCATGGCTTCTATCATAACTTTCTTTTCAGGTTTAAAAATGGCCCAAGAAGAGGCCAAAAAAGCACTAGTGGTGATAAGGGGTGAAGAGAGCTTTCAACCCTAGAGGTGTGTAAGTGTGTGATGACGTCACGGCGCCGTAGAGGTGGAGGCGCTTGCTGCTGCCGTTGTGCTTTGCGTGGCGTCAGTGGCAGTGGTCGCGGCTGTAGATGACACAGTACCGGTACTACCGCCCGTCGTCACCGCAGCCGTGCTGCTTTCGGTGACACTGGAACTTGCTGCTGTTGTAGATGCCGAGCTCCCCGCAGTCGCTGCCGTTGTTTGTTGAGTTGTCTGGCTTGCCCCAGCCCCACCTTCGCCGTCGCCGCCTTCTCCGCCTCCTTCTACGTTTGTTTCGCTGGTGGCAGACGTCGAGGTCGGGCCGGTGGGCGCGGCGGTGCTACTGGTGCTCACCACTGTCGCCGGAGAACTCGCGCTGTCCGTGGATCCGTCGATGCTGGCAGCGGCGGTGGAAGACGAAGTGACGGAGGATGTAGACATCGTAAATCCAGAAGAAGAAGTAGGGGAGGATGTCGTGGAGCCGGTATAAGAAGAGTCGGTATGCGTAATAGGAGTGCTGCTGTTGTCAGAAGTGAAGTCGGACGTCACGTTTTCAGGCGCCGCGGTGGTTGTGTTCGAAAGCATGTCTCTCTTCTCTTGTTCCTCACGGCGTCGTTTCGCCGCCAGAAGCGCGCGACGGAATTCTGCTAAGGCAATCATGGTCTTGAGGACGCGTCGTAGGTTGGTCAGGTTGATGTTCCGGGCGCGGCACGTCGACTTGATGCGGCTGATGAATCGGTCCACCTTGAAGGGTTGGCTGAGGGCCACCCGGCTCACGTACGGTTTGTCGTAAGAGCCCAGGTACAGATAGCCGTCGTGCTCTGCTGCCTGCATTCAGGGAAAAAAGAGGGTGGGGGTGGTATGAAACAGCAGAACGTTTTGTTGTCACCCCCCAAAAAATGTACAGGTCAAGGTCAAGGTTGGTGGCGCATTTTGCTAACTCTAGCTTTAAGTTTAACGGTTAAAGCAGACAAAACTTTTTATAACCAAGTTTGATTAGAAGGAGACGAAAGGCAATATTTTGCTGCGCATTCGAACCATCATATACAAATCGAAAACACGAATTTGCAAGCTTTAATATTGTTGTCTGCCTCTTTAAATTCCATAAGTTATGTTCTCTTTTTCTTTAAGTGTCCCCAAAACACAGCACGTCTTTTATCGTTGTCGGGTGATTAGAAT